CTATCGATCTACTTGACTCATCCAGAACCACAGAGATCCAGGGGCATCTGACTTAACTTACTTATCACATACTTATTATGTAAAAAAAAAAACTGAACTCATTTGAAAAGCTATATCGACTAGTAGGCGTTTCCATGAACTGCACCACACACAATATTTTGAAAAATAAAAACAATATGATATTTTTCGTCATAGTAAAAATAGGAGCCGTTGAAAACCTAAAAGCGTTGTTTTAACGGCTCTGGTGAAAAAAATCGACATATTCGCCTTTTTGAGCAGTTTAAGAGGTTTATCAATAAGTTGAAATACTGAACGCCAAAGCAAAGCCTTCATCACACACACACACACCCACATACATACATGTGTGTATAAAGATCCACGTTTTTAAACATACGTGTATACAATATACATATACAATATACTACATTCATACATAATTATTAATTTGACCTCATATTCCTCATTTAAACGCTCATATACAACTTACAAATAAGTAAGTTTAAGTATATAAGTACTAGTATTAATATACGTATATTTTATTTACATATAAAACACACACAGACATATTAGGTGATTAATTCTTATATGCGATAAAACAACTTTTATAGCCTACAAGCGCAAGTAATTTTGAAATAAAAACTCGACTAATTTGCTTATTTCGTGTTGTACCTCGTCGTCAGGATGTTGTTCATGAGTTCTCTGGCTGTGGTCGGTGTCACGGTTCTCATCCCCTCCGCTCAGGGAAGCGTCTGTCCGAAAGAACCCACGCGTGGATCCCTCCTCAACTCCGTCCACAGTTCCGTCCATAGTACACGCAAAGACTGAAGCCCTTAAAACAACTGCAAGAGAACAACTACGATTACCTGTCTGCTCTCTCTGGATTGGTTGGACGACTTCATTCACGATGAATAACAAAGAGTTAATTTTAGGTATAAGTTTATAAACACTTCAATCTACTTGTGCACCTTCGGTGTGCGCGAAATACTCCAGCGTCTCAGTGTAATGAGGATAGAATAAAAGTCCCCAAAGGAACGCATAAATTAATGGCTAAAAAATAAATATAAAAATGTATAAATATGTATGTATGTATGTGTGTGTATATATATATATATATATATATATATATATATAACCCTGGACCACAAAACAAGCCTTAAGTCGCTTGTGTATATTTGTAGCAATAGCCAAAAATACATTGTATGGGTCAAAATTATTATTTTCTTTTATGTCAAAAATCATTAGGATATTAAGTAAAGATCATGTTCCATGAAGATATTTTGTAAATTTCCTACT